TACACCGTGTCAGGAGACATGGCTGAGACCTTGAGAGTGGAGGACAGAAAGTCTGAGTTTTCCCTACGCAGGTCCCATCAAGCCTCGACGTGGTCGGTGAAGGCATCCACCTCCACCTCTTTCTTTGCCAGAACCTCCATTATATGGCTCCGAGAGCTCCAGGCCATGATTCCTCAGGAGCAGGTACGCGCACACCAGAACCTGGGTAAGCTACTGGCGACATCGGAGTACATGGCAGAAGCATTACTACATGCTGCCAGGTTCTCATCCCGGGCGATAGCCTCCAACATAACAACCCGCAGGTTCCTATGGCTCAAGCAATGGTGAGCAGATTTAAAATCGAAATGGCACTTAGTCACCACCCCTTACACTGGCGGACAATTGTTCGGAGAGGCCTTCGACCCTTATTTAGTGGGAAAATGTGAAAAGTGCAAAGTGATGTCCCACTTTACCAGACAAGCGGACAGAAGGTCTAACCCATATTCCCGCAGACAGCCATTCACTCGGGATCAGGTTCAGAGTGGGCTCTGCCTCCCCGTCCCTTCCCTCCCAGACCTGACCGCCAATTGGAACGACCCCGTCCTAGGCCCAAACCACAGTTTCAGTCCAAGCGGCCCTTTCGAGGCACGGGAGGCCATCCCTTTAGAAGAAATAAGTGACTCCAGAGAGGGTGGGGAGGGCCCTCCCATTGGTGGCAGACTTTCTTCATCCACAAATGGGAGGCCACTACTACGGGTACTCAACATCATCAGGTGCGGTCTCTCCCTAGAATTCTTGTCCAGACCCTCAGATCGCTTTATTTCTTGCCCAGCTCCACGAAATCCAGCCAAGAGGAGCCTCATGAATGAGGCCATATGTCACCTCTTAGAGATAAGGGCCATAGAACCAGTGCCGGCTGGGCAGATAAAAAAAGGCTTCTACTCCATCCTCTTTGTGCTGCCAAAGGCTTTAGGAGGATGGAGAGCCATACTCGATCTCAAGTGGCTAAATTCCCATTTAATATACAAAAAATTCAAGATGCAGACGCTCAAATCTATTTTGGCCAGCATCAGGAGGGACGACTTCCTGACGTCCATCGATCTCATGGAAGCATACTTGCATGTCCCCATCCTTCCCGGCCATCGCAGTTTCCTCAGGTTCTGCTACACAAACCGTCACTATCAGTACAATACGGATCCAGTGCTACCTGGACGACATCCTCATCCAGTCCACCTCCGTTCAGGCGGTTCAATCAGACCTTGCCCTGTCCATAGAGGTCCTCCAGGACCATGGGTTCTCAGTGAACTTTCTGAAGAGCCACATAGCTCCCTCCACTTGCTTCCTCCACCTGGGCACGATTATACAGTAGATACAAGGCAGTGCATGGTCTATCTCTCGCAGGAGCACCAGGACAGCATCCGAACCCTGGTACTTCAAGTCCAAAGGGAACGTGTCATTTCTCTGGCCAGCCTTTCCTAATTGTTAGGGAAGATGTCTCTTGCATGTCCATAGTACCATGGTCCAGACTGCATCCAGGAACTTGCAATGGTTCTTACTCCCGTTTCACAGACTGGGCACCAGCTCCTCCAACCAGAAGGTCAAGGTTCCACCTCAAACCCTGAAATCCCTTCACTGGTGGGTAGCCAGAGGCTAATTTTTCAAGGAGCCAGTGAGGCTCACTCTAACCAGCAATGCCAGTCTGTTTGGCTGAAGAGCTCATCTACAATCACAGTTGGCTCAGGGCCGGTGGTTCCGGCTGGGCCTGAAGCACAACATGAACTGGTTGGAGCTCAGAGCCATACATCTCGCCCTCTGCCATGTCAAAAACAAAGTGGCGGGACAACACATCCTAGTCCTTACGGACAGTGTAGCAGCCAAAGCCCATGTGAACTGGCAAGGGGGCACCCGGTCCAGGTCCGTTATGACCAAGGCCCAATTGTTGGGCTCTTGGGCAGAGACCAACCTCTCCTCCCTCAGAGCAGAACACATCTCGGGAGAGGCAAACCGGCAGGCGGACTCATTAAGCAGGTCAACAGTGGTCCACTCCGAGTGGCGCCTGCATCCCGAACTATTCACGGAGATAGCGGAGAGGTTCGGCCACCCGATACTGGACTTGTTCGCCTCTCCAGCGAATTCCCAACTCCCGAGATTCTTCTCCCGGTTCCCTTCTCCAGGGGCAGAGAGGGCAGACGCCCTCCACAGTCCATGGCCCAGGGATCTGTTATATGCCTTTCCCACTCTCCCTCTGATCCCAGCAGTCATCCGCAAGATACTGCAGGAATGGGCAGAGGTCATACTGGTTGCTCCACACTGGCCAAGATGACCGTGGTTTGCCGACTTCGTGGGCCTTTCCATCCCCCCCCCCATGAAGAATCCCTCCAGGTCGCATTGCCCTCAGCCAGGGATCTCTGCAGCATCCATAACCCCAGTGGCTCCAGTTAACCTCCTGGCACTTGAGAGGCGACTCCTGGCCTGGGAGTCCTATTCGATGGGAGTAATCTTCATGATTCAGGCATCCAGACGCCCCTCTACAAACAGGATCTACGATTGCACATGGAAGAACTTTTGTCTCTGGTGCACCAGGAACCAGTTTGATCTCTCATCCATCACCATCCCGAGAATCCTACAATATTTGTTGGAGGGACTCAACAAGGGCTTAGCGCCCAATACCATCCACAGGCAGGTGGCGGCTCTGTCAGCGGTGCTTGCATGCGACAATTCTGTTCCCTTAGCTCAGCACCCCATGGTGTGCTCATTTATCAAGGGAGCGACTAACGCCAAACCACCTGCCGTACATCTCTTGGGACCTGTCACGAGTCTTACAAGCCCTTACCTCACTTCCGTTTGAGCCCCTTAGGACTGTACACTGTGGCTTTTATCCATGAAGGTAGCCTTCCTAGTAGCCGTCACATCATCCAGACACATATCAGAACTGGCAGCACTCTCTGTTATAGAGGACCTATGTGTTTTCCACAGTGACAGGGTGCTCCTCCGATTGGACCCATCATTTGTTCCCAAAGTAAATACCTTTTTCCACAGGTCACAGGAGGTGATACTACCAGATTTCTGCCCTCACCCGTCTCACAACTCTGAACGTCAGTGGCACACTCTAGACATACGTAGGGCTCTACGCCAGTACATCAAGCAGACTTTAGCTTTTTGCAATTCAGAAGCGCTATTTCTTTCCTTTCAACCCTCTTCCATGGGGCAGAGGGTTTCATCATCAGCCATAGGCAGGTGGATCAAAGCTTGCATTTCAAGGGCATACCAATCCCACTCCTTGTCAGTTCCAAGCCATATAACTGCTCATTCCACCCGCAGCACTGCAACATCAGCGGCTTGGGCAACACAAGCGCCCATTGGCAAGATCTGTAGGGCAGCGACTTGGGCTTCGCCTTCCCCAATCATAAGGCACTATAAGATAGACAAGTTTGCCTCCGCGGATGCCTCATTTTGCTGGAGGGTGGTACAGCATGTAGTGTCATCAAGTGGGACACAGGCCCAAACTGGTTTCCTCCCATAGGGACAGGGCAACTTTGGTATGTCTCATTCGTGGATTCTCATGCTGGAAAAGGGGTGTTGTCTTACCTGAACGCCTTAGCATGATGATGGAGAATCTACACCCACCCCTTCAGTGTCAGTCAGGTCCTGTGTCAGGGGTATAAGGAGCCAACGCGTTGGACTATCGTCTGTTGCTTCGCCTTCGTCGTAACTGGGTGGTTCTCTAGCCCAGCAGGAGGTGTGGCAACTTTGTCAGACTTAGTCTAATTGGGCAGGAGGATGAAGTAAACCCATTCGTGGATTCTCCATCAAGCTAAGAAAAGGCATTCAGGTAAGATAACGCCTCTTTCATAAACTTACTTAGCAACATAATGGAGGAATGCAATCCTACTCTTATTAGGCAGTTTCAGAATAAACAGGAGAAATCACCCTTATTTTTCTTGAAATTTGCAGCTATAAACAGTTACTTCATTAATAGTTTTACTGGAACTTTTAAGTAGATATGTATGTATAGGGCTGCATTTTTTGCACAAGAAAAACATGTTTGGTGACCACATACATAATGTTATACATATTACACTTTCCCAGTTAATTGGCTTTCTTTGGATTTCTGCCTAAATGTGGGACTGCCACTCATACTCTGTTCATAATATTAGGAATTTTACTGTCACTCTGAAAGTACCTTCAGTGGAATCTGCCGGTCTAGCCAGATCCTGGAAGAAAACATTTGCTGAGAGAAGGCTAACATCAGGGCCCTTCTTGATGATAGTCCCATCTTTCTGGTGTTTCCAGGCATTGAAGAGCTGACTCTTCTAGATCAGAGGTCCTCAACCTTTTGGGCACCAGGGACCGTTTCCCTGGAGAGAGGTTTTCTGTGGACTGGAGGGAGTGTGGTTTTGTGTGCTGCCTGCATCTCGCGGATGGGGCTTTGCTTATGTGGACCAGTTGCTGGCATGCCATAGCCCAAAACCGGTCCATGGACCGGGGGTTGGGGACCCCTGTTCTAGATGGTCTCTGGAGGTAGAATAGAATGTTGAACGTTGTTTCAGGGTGATGGGATCTGGATGAGTGGCTTAGCTGATTTGGTTCAAGTTTCCAGTTGTTATCTTCTGTAAGTTCTACTACTGTAGACAAGCATGTAAGTAACATAGAAACTTGTCAGTCAATAACTAATTACAATTATTTGCATAAGAAAAGGAACCACAACATGGTGAACAAGTTTTGTAGTTTAAATGCACCATGCCAATTCAGCTGCACAATTCTTTGGAATAGTGACCAGGGAATACTGGTTTTAAAATGAAAGCTGGTTAAGTAATATATATAAAATGCCTTATTTTCGACACACAGTGTAATATGTTGGTGCAATATAATTCTTTTGAAGGATTGACACATGATTCTCCCTTATTCCCAGAGTATTATTACAGAGACTAATAATGGTAATATCAATTGGTTAGTAAAACTCTACAGGGAGGCGATAGGGAACTATGTCAGGTTAAATCTAATAATGCATCTCTTTTCAGTCTCCACTTGTTCTACAGGTAGTCCTCAACTTATGGCCACAATTGGGACCAAATTTCAGTCGCTAAGCATTGTGGTTGTTAAGCAAGTCATGACGTGACTGGACCCCGATTTTAATGACCATTTTCACTGCAATAATTTAAGCAAATCACCTGGTTGGTAAGTGAATCACACACTCTTTAAGCAAATCTGGCTTCCCCCATTGAAAGAAGCCAGCTGGGAAAGTCACAAATCATAATCAAGTGACTGCAGGATGCTGCAACCATTGTAAATGCTAGCCAGTTGCTAAGGTCCCTAATTATGATCATGTGACTACAGAGATGTGCAATGGTTATGATTTTGAGGATCTGTCTCTTATGCTTTGTTTGCCTCAGAAGTTTCTCTTGAAAATCAGTTGATCCAGAATACAACAGCTCACATAGTTAAGGGTAAATGCCACTATTTGAAAAGTTGTCCTGTTTTGGGGTTAGCTTCCAAGAGCCATTCAAGATGCTAGTTGATTTAGAACTTAGTTATCTTTGGAATTTGTTGCTTGTCTATCCAATAAGCTCTGCAAAGAATGGCATCTTGTAGGTTCCTATCCTGAAAGAATATTGCCAGCCAAAAGTGATGGGGTGAACCCATGTAAATGCCTGCTTGCAAGTTGAATGAAAGTGAATCCAAAAAGAACTAGGTGTTCATTATGAGAGGTCATACTTACAGGGAAATGGTAAATAACCTTGTTCTAAACTGGATTGCATTCTTTCAGATGGAGAAGGACCCTTTATCAGTTTTGGTTGATAACAGTGTTCTATCCGAGGGAAAAAAACTGTGGTGCAACATGTTGCTGTCTCCAGATTTGATCACTATAACCACTCTGCATGGGGCTATCATTATAGCTAGTCTAGAAAAAGAATTGAAAAGTCATGTAGTCTCAAAAAGATTACATTATACCTGTGCTAAAAGCTTTTTACTGGCTGGTATTTTGCTGATTTTAAATTTTGTGATTGTCTTGAAATTAATACTCTTGGGTTTTTTTTTTTTTTTTTGTGTGTGTGTGTGTAGTATAAACAGTTGAAAGCCTTTATGGTATCATAATAAATAAAATCAATAAATAGTAGCTATGTATATATCCTAAACAAGTATTTAGTAAAAATATTGTCTTTTCAAAAATATTGTACAGCATTCTATAATAATAATTTAGAACTAATATAGCCCTCAAGACTATAAGTCCAGAGCTTTTAGTGCTTTAGTAGTTACCTTGAACAGGAATTAATTCTTGAAAGAATGAAATGCTTAATCCACTTGAAACATTTGTTAAAGAAATGCTGGCTGTCAAGAATGTTGAAACCAGTGTTGAGTTATTACAATAACATTTTAAGGAAGTTTTTATTAAGGGAGAACATATTAAAATACTATTTCCAAAAATGGGTTGCAAATCTGTTGGGATGTCTATCAGTGACTAGATTAAATGCTTTTAGCTAGACGAAAGGATTCTGGAATGTGAAATTAATAGATTGCCTTTTTTTAAATTAAGGAATGAATAATAAAGGAAAATACTCAAAGCATTATGAAATTAATAAGGAAGTAAAACAGAACAAAATCAAAAGAAAAAATAGGAATATAAATTCACACATATTCACTCAATTCATGTATATTTGAATACATATATGTAATTTTGAAATACATGCACGAGGTTTTATTTTCATTTTTTATGGGAGCGATTTATCATCTCAGTCCTTATAGTTTTTATGTAATGGATGGTTTTGAATGATATTAATAATATCAAATTTAACACTGCAACTGGTGACTCTACAGTCAATCCCAAAGGTCTTCTGGAAGAACTAGTTTTACCAGCTTTCAAAAGCTATGAAAGTAGGGGCCTTTCTCACTATTAGGGATATGTTTGCTCTCTCAGAAGAATAGCCTCCACAGAGAAAGTTCATCATTGGGCCTCTACTTCAGGGTAGATGAAGATACTTGGTGCTTTCTAACTGTTCATATTAGGCAGGTTAAATCTATCTGGGAAATGCCATCTCTTAGATATCGGCCCTTAGTTATATAAAATATAGCACTTTGAATTGCACATGCAAACACAGTGGTAGTCAGTGCAGCTCCCACAGCATCTATACAAATGGCAGTAGTATGACTGGTCACAAATCAGCCATATTGTGCAACAGGTGAAATTTTTGGTAGTCTTCAACTAATAGCTAGCTAACTATTAGTTGAAGCTAACAGTTATAGGAATCACATAGGCCAATATTCCACAGCCTAGTTAGAATAGACTTCAACTCTCATAGTTCACATACAGATGGAGGAAGGCCAGTTTGTTTGGAGGTCTAGATGTGGAGCATAGCTTAAGATGTTCTGAGAGGTGCAAACCTTTTTGGTATAGCTTATAAACAGGTATTTATTTCAGTTCTCTGCTAATTCCCAAGATGTAGTATGCACTTAAAACATGGAGATGTTTGCTTCATTTACGCTGAGCAGGTAGTCCTTGACTAACAACTGTAATCGAGCCCAGAATTACAGTTGTAACTTGTGCCAGTCATTAAGCAGGTCATCACGTGACCACACCTGATTTTACAACCTCTTTTGTGTTGGTTGTTAAGTGAATTCATTGTTCTCAGTGGGAGTTTATTGCCAGAAACCAGCAGTGAAGACCAGTTTCCAGAAAAAGAAAAACCATTATAAATTACAGTCTTGTGGTAACAGGGTGCTGCAAAAAGCTATAAATATGGGCCAACTACTAAACATCCAAAATATGATCATGTGACTGCAGGTGGGTGTGGCTATCAGAACTTTGAATCTGGATTGTAAGTAGCACTGTGGAGGTGTGGCATAATTTCAAATGGTTGTTTAGTTCTGGTAAATTGACAACTACCTCTCCTGTTTGGATATCTTGTTTAATTCATCTACAGCAGACATGTCAAACTCATGACGTTGCATGATGTATTGGAGTTTTTTCTCCATTGCTGGTAATGGGGTGGGTGCAGTTTCCTGGTGATGCATCCGGCCCGTGGGCCAGCAGTTTGACATCCCTGATCTACAGTATTAATTTTGATTTTGATCAGAATGTGTACTTGTCCAATATGAGGGAGGGAAGAATAGCAGGGACAGCATTGCTAATCCTCTAAGTTCTGAGGTGCTTGATACCGGCTTTTTCTTATATCTATGACTTGAACTAGAATATGCTATATTGGTAGTCCTCATTTAATGACAGTAATTGGGACCAGAGTTTCCATTGCTAAGTTGATGAAATTATAAACCATGACCATGCCACTTAGCAACAGAAATTCTGGCATTTTTTTCCTTGCCATCATTAAACACTGAGGGTTGTTACGTGAGAACGTCATGTGGTTACCATTCACAAGCCTTTCTCTATAGCTTTGCTTGTAAAAAGCTGGCAAAGAAGATTGTAAATTGTAATCATGTGATCACACGGGATGCTGCAATATTGTAATTATAAGATAGACACTGACTGCTTGAATCCCAATCACTTGATTGCAGGGATGTTACAACCGATGTAAGTATGAGGATCAGTGATAAATGATGAACTACTTCATTAGTTGCATACATCAGGGGTCCCCAACCCCCAGTCCGTGGACCAGTACCGGGCCGTGGCATGCCAGCAATGGTCCACACAAACAAAGCCCTATCCACAGAATGCAGGCAGCACACAAAACCACACACCTTCTGGTCTGCGGAAAAAATCTTTCTCCACAGAACCGGTCCCTGGTGCCCAAAAGGTTGGAGCCACTGGCAGAGATGGTTAAACATATGTAGGGGATGCAGTAAGGTGGAGGATGAGAGAAGAAAATGTGGTTATGCAGATGCAGGCTACATGCTACATGGATTAAAACCTCATAAATTAGCAGTTGTAATATGTTAAAAAGCTATTTGTAAGATCTGAGTTAGCTGAAACCTTTTGATGTATATCAGTTGGCAGTCTTTCATATAATGGTGGCATAGTTTTCTTGTTCTAAAATGGCAGCTTTAAAATCTGTAATGGAGTATATGGTATTAGCTTTGTCTTTGTTGATGGTATACCAGCAGCACTACCACAGGCCCCAAAACTTCAATATGAGGTAAGAGGCATCTTCACAAGCACTTCCTCTTGATACAAGCCAGCATTGCAATTGCTAATTGTTCAGTACCCTAAGGGGGCATGATGGCTCAGTGATTAAAGTTGCTGAGCTTGAGAGCCTGGGTTTGAGACCCAAGCACTGCACGACAGGGCGAGCTTTTGTTACTGGCTCCAGCTTCTGCCAATCTAGCAGTTCGAAAGCATGCAAATGTGAGTAGATAAATAGGTACCACTTTGGTGTGAAAATAACAGCACTTTAGAATATAGTCATGCTGGTCACATGACCACAGAAGTATCTTTGGACAACATTGACTCCCTTGGCTAAGAAATGGAGATGAGCGCTGCCCCCTAGAATGGGACACGACTGGAAAGGGAAAACCTTTACCTTTCAGTACCCAGAGTTCGAATGGTCGCTGAATGAATAGTTGTTAAATGTGGACTATCTGTATAACTGGACAGATGAATTATATATTTAATAAAGAGACATGCAAGGTCAGTGCCAGTAGAAAACTAGTACAGATGATCCAGAATATTTGGTTTTGATACGCCAGGTTTTCAGCTAACTATCCCAGCTTGGGCATATGCTTTTGAGATGAGGTCATTGTTTTCTTTTAATGTCGGACATTCCAGATGCTCCAGAATTGAACAAACATATTTGTCGATGAGTGTGGAACAAGTGATATCATAAATGTAATGCTTGTGAAAAGTAAGATGGTAATATGTTAATTCAGCATTCTATTAAAATTAAATTAAATAAGATTCAGTGGAGAGAAACACAAAGCAAAGAAGTAAGAAAAAAACCTGAATCAAATATTACTTAAGACAATCTGCTGAGCGCTTAATTGCTTGCTTGTTATTCAAAATATAAAATTACTTAAAAAATCTTTAACACATCCTAATTTTGCTATTTATGTTATTTTTTAATACTTTAAAGTACAAGACAATTTTGATTATGAATTGACGCTTCTGATCATTCCCTTGGATATTCAGCTACTCTCTGTAAACTTTATTGAGACTAGGCAAGATAAAAAAGTATTTATTTGAATATTAATGCTACTGTAATATGAAGGTAGCATTTTCTAGTTCAATCTTA